GTAGGAATGTAGTCTTTATATTGAACTGTTACAAGATCTGACCGTGTTGTGCTACAATTGTTAAAAGAACACGGATTGAGGGATGCTTGATCACTGGGAATACTTCTTCATAATCAATCCCTTTTCATTGAGCAAAGTCTTTTGTTACTAATCTTGTCTTGTATCACACATCAGCTCTATGAGATCCTTCTTTATTAGCATACATCAATTTGCATCTGATAACTTTCCTTCCTGGAGGAAGCTTAACCAACTTTCAAGAACCATTCTACTAAGCAAACTCCAACTCTTCATCCATTACTACTCTCGAAAGATTACAGTGTGGACTCTTCACCACTTCTTCGTAGTGATAAGGAACTTAGGTCTATGTGGTTGAAAGTGCAAATACAATATGATCCCTCAACCAAGCTGCTTTGAGATATTTTGACGCCTGATCCTGCTCCTAGTAATAGTTTCCTGAGTAGAAATCGCATCCTCAATATCTTCTTTCACCTCCTCCTGAGCACAAATACCTCCTGAGGTGCAACTAAATCAGATATTCGAGTCAGAGGGGACCAACTCTATGAAACAAATAGAGTTGCATCAAAGTCCAATTTCAGTTGCATATCTATGGTCTCAGTAGAACTCTCCACCTGCTTTGAGTATTGATTATTCAATAAACTTACCTCATCGAATCTAACATCCTTGCTCATGATAATATTCCTTTCTGACCGAACTTACAGCTTGAAGCCCTTGACTCTACACCTGAAACTAATAAAGATTACCTTCTTTGCTCGTGGTCCTAATTTATCATTATGCACATGATAGTAAGTTGGACGCCCAAACAATCTCATGCGCTCATAATCTCCAATAGGATGCCTTAACCACATCTCCTTAGGGGGTTTTCTTCCTAATAGGTGTAGAAGGTAGAGATTTCATCAACTGACAGGCATTTTGTATGGCTTAAGCCCAATAGACTCCCTCCAGCCCAGAATTGAATAACGTTCACAAAACTTTCTCCACTAATTGACTCTCTGCCTCCCCATTATGCAGTGGTGTCTCCTGAACAGTGAAGTTGTGATCCATCTCAGCTCTCTAGAACTCTTGCAAGAATGCATCCAAAGTGTATTAACCCCCATTAACTGATCTGATACATTCATCCCAGATACTGCTTATATGCACAGTACAACAATAATTCAGATTATATTTTTCACTTATATCCTTATTTTCCAACAAAACCAAAAACTTGATCCTGAAGAAAAATAAGAATTTAACTTTTAAATTATATATATTGGGATACTACGCAAGTATACGTATCGTTATCAAGTAATATAGGACTTTTTTATTAAGACCTAAATGTCGAGCCCACAGGGAAGATATGTATGCACTATTGAACAACACACTTTCTATTTTTAAAAAGATATTAATTTAAACTAAAGATGATTTATTAATTTAAACTAATGATGATTTTTGCAGTAATGAAAATTAAAATATTTTTGGTATTTTTAATATTTTGATGGAAAAATAACAATTTAAAAAGATAACTAGAGTATTTGTAGCAAAAAAACACTAAATATGAAGATATATTTCTTCTTATCATGAATCAGTAATAAGTAATAGAAATTATGTTGTGGAAGTATGCAAATTATGTTGTGCCAAATAGAAGCAATAATATTCTTTACCCTTACTAGAGATGTTATAAAAAAATTGGCTAATTTAAAGTTCGAATAGTTCTGAAGACCGGCTAGGTAGGGAAGATACTAGCTCTCGCTCTAGAGTTCCCTCAATTCCCTCCACCTGGGGGTTAACATCTCGTATCATAACCTAAAATAATAAGCCAAGTTGGGGGCTTTAACCTGTCACTTTAAAGTCCTCTAACTCTACACCCATCAATGAATATTTTCCTATTTATTTGCACTCAATCATATGAACTACATTCTCATTCATACAACCTCATGTGATTCTTTTCAGTTGTTGATTGAGACAATACTAGCCCAGTTCTTACATGTTCTCACAACAAAATTTAACATATGGATTGGCCAAATCAAGAAGTAAATGAAGTGCATGGATTTAAATCATCACAACTTCTTTTAACATTAAAGATCAATACTCTCCACAACTTCCATCTAATATTTAATTACTTATCATTTTAAAAAGAAAGATAAAGAAAACAACTCAGAATCCAAGGAAAAAACAAAACCACACTTTAGTTTAAACACTTTAGTTTAAAAGTAGAAATCATTGTCAAACCACAAATCTCAATTAAAACCAAAAGTAGTCTAAAAAAATAAAAGATAAAAACTTATTTCAAGTCGTCCACCAAACTCTTGAAGTTCCTTTGAATCTCTTCTCTTTTACAACACTCTTAATATAAAACTAAAAAAAAAAGGATAAAATAGATATGTGATGCCTGAAAATCTCTCCAAACTAACTCCCAAATTCAAGAACTTTCAAAACTTTCTCTTTTTCAGCACACTTTCAAAGACTCAATCTTCATTCTCTTATAAATCTCTAAAAGGTGCATTGATATCTCTTCAAAATATGTCTTGATTCAATGTATTTCTCCAAGAGATGCCTCCTTTAACAATAATTTTCGTCCATGGTGGTTGTAACCACCTATTAAGCCAATGGGTACCTCAAAAACCTCTTCAAAATTCACAAAAACCGAATTTACTCATCCAATAACTGCCACTGGCGCTTAAGCGCGGGGCTTCTGGTGCTTAAGAGCGGGTCCTCTGGCGCTTAGGCGCGACCTTCTCTATTTAACCGACGCTTAAGCGCAGGATCTGGCGCTTAGGCGCCAAAACTCTTTTGCCCAATTTTCACCTATTTGCTCCAAATTTGATCCAAACTTGATCCTTTTTTACTCGTTTAAGCATTTTTCACCTTTTTACCTGTACCTGAAACTAAAACACACAAATACCTTCCATTAAAGCACAATATCTCAAAAATAGGTATAAAAATGTGTCTAAAAATACTATATATTTTAGGTGTATCATACATCAAATATTTTTACCAGTCTATGCCTTAATCCTTTTCGTCCAAGTCATGAAAATCTCCAGCACTTCGCATTTGCACTTCATGATGTACAACCAAATATATATGGAGTAATCATAAAAAAAGTGATAAAGTATCTTCACTCACTGAATGATGTTTTATTCTTCAAGCCCCAAACATCTTTGTGAACGTGCTCTTAAATACTTTTTGTGTTGTGGATGTCAGTTCCAAATGATATCTGTGTCTTCTTGTCAAACACACAATCTTTATAGAAATTTAGCCTGTAGGTGCTCACTTCTTTTATCAATTCTTTCTTCACCAAAGTCTGAAGTAAAGCCTCTCTAGCATGAGCTAGCTGCTTATGCTACAACATAGTGGAGTTAGATGAATTATCAGCCACAGTAGCCATTCTTGTTATTGTACTACATTAAAGATGGTAAAGATTGTGACGACGAACTTCCTTCATAAAAACCATTGCTCCAAGACATATATTCAGAACTCCTGCCTCAATAACTATCTTATTGTCTTTAGATTCTAAAGCAACAACTGGCAGGAAATTCTTTCTTATTTCTAGAACATGTTTAACATCAGTCGTCTCTCTCATAGTACAATCATGCATCCTGACAAAAGATACTCTCTACACCAATAATATGACAAGTTTGATTGTTGTTCATAGTCACTGCACCACGATCCATCTCTTTGTACGTATAAATATATCATCGATGAGAAAAAATGTGATAGTTAACACTCGTATCTAGAATTCAGTATAAATCATCTATAAACAAACTATGAGAAACCGCATATAACGATACATCTGAATTTGTCTATTCATATATTTTAATTGGCTTTCACCTCAGATGAAACTTTCATCCCCTCTCTTTCAGCTTCAAATAATTTTTCTTCCAATGATCGTACTCTAAACAGTAAGCACATTGATTTTTCCCAAGACTACACTCATGAGACTTGCCCCGCTTTTGAGAAGTGTGTCTCAGTTGATTCCAATATTAAAGACTCTTTTTTCCTTCGACGGAATTCGTAATTCAACAACGTAGTGGTTACTTCGTCATAATTAAAAGTATCCTTCACATGAATGAGTGTCGTCATAAAGTTTTCGTACTCGTCTTAGAGCAAATTCAACAGAAAAAACACCTTATCTTCGTCTCCAACTTTGTCATCCAAATTTAACATATATGCTAACAACATTGTAAAGTCATTCAAGTGTTCATCAATAATAACCCCCTCTCTCATCTGAAATCTGTAAAATCGACACTTCATATGGAGATGGTTTTCCTCGCGCTTCGTGAGATATTTGCTCTCCGGCATCCTCCACAAATTCTATATAGAATTCTCCATCATCACCTCATATTTTATCTCGTGTTTTATACAATTTCAGATCAAGTAAAAAACAGTCATGTTCACCTTCAATTAATCTCTCTCACATCTATTCATGACGTTCTTCGCTATTCATGACTCCCTCCGGATTCAGAGAGCACAACACATCTATCACCTGCATCCTTGCATGTTAAAGTTCATTTTGTCATCAATGAAATTTGACGGGATTTGTAACCACCTGATCGATCGACTTTTCCACAACCATAGTGGATGTTCAAGAATCTGACATCATGTTATTGCTCCACTTATTAAAATATCTTTCTCAAAATAATTTCTCTAGCAGAATACCCGGAGAAAAAGGAGATAAAAGAAGATAAAACAAACATAAAGTTCACCTGAAAAAAAGAATAAATTTCAGAAAATAAAATTTCTTTTACCAGAAAATTTTTTCCCTTCAAGGGAATTTCCATTTTTCTTTAAAAAAAAATTTAATGCAGAACTGAAATCACTATTTGCAGAAGCTTTACTTTTTAAAGTTCCTTCTGATCCCACGCAATTCCTTTTCAGAAATCTTACTTTAAACACTCCAACGTACTTTTCCTTGTCTGAAATTCTGTCGTTCAAAAACAATTTATTTATTATTATTTTTTTTTTCTGTCCACGCGAATCTCCCAACCGAAATTCTATTCCACCCGATGTCGCAGCCTTCGACGCAAGGCCTGACGCCTGTACAATGCCGGAAACTCGGCGGAGCCACCGGTCTGATGCCGGAACCGCGCTGGAACAAAAAAAACAAAAAAAAAAACCCGGACGTCCTCCTCAACCGCCATCACCCCTACTGCACACCGAATTTGCCGCTGCCGAAGTCAGACATACGTTCCGATCATGAACCCGGAGCTATAATATCAATTATTATGCGAAAAAAATGCCGGAAACGTAGAATTCACACAAATAATAATCAAATACAGTCGACTTACATTCCAAACAAAGAGGGCGACCTCACGAGCACCAGATGGAAAAAAAAAAACTAAGATTATAATATTTGCACTTCTCACCATACACCTATGAAGAACAATAGTCAAAACACAATTTACTCCTAATTATAAATAAATACAAGATATATGTAAATCTAGTACAAGAAAAACTGTTTCTTTTATGTATTTTTCTTTAAAAAAATATTGTTTAATACAGCAATGAGGAAGCGTCAAAGCGCTCTCCGATGAAGAAGCAAAGAAGTTATCTGGAAATATATATTTATATATTTTTTTATATAATACATCAGAAGACTAAGAATAGCTCCCACAAATTCGGAGCTATCTCAATTACCATATTTGACGTTTATAATCTCAGGCATGGAAGAACTGGTGTCTGTGTTCCCTAGCAAGCAAAGACAACTTCACACCACAAGATCATGGAACTTCATGGGGTTCCCATCAAGCGCTCCGCGTGGGCCCTTCGAGTCAGATGTTGTCGTCGGCATGATCGACACAGGGATCTGGCCCGAGTCCCAGAGCTTCGACGACGCGGACTTTGGCCCGCCGCCAAGCAAGTGGAAGGGCACATGTCAGTCCAACCACAACTTCACATGCAACAAGTACTTAAAACTCCCTTCTACTTAAAACCAAAGCCAATATGTAAATCCATAGTTTTTGCACCAACTAGTTGAACAACTTAACACAATATTGACAAACACTAAGATCATTGGAGCTCGGTACTACCACCTTCAAGGAAATATAAGTGATGATGAGATACCCTCCCCGCGTGACAATGAGGGCCACGGCACTCACACATCCTCCAACGCCGCCGGCCGTCTCGTCACAAATGCAAGCCTAGCAGGCATTGCACAGGGACTCGCGGGGGCGTCCCTTCTGCAAGATTTGCAGTTTACAAAGTCTGCTGGTTTAGTGGATGTTCCGAAGTTGACATTCTCGCCGCCTTCGATGATGCCATCGCCGAAGGTGTCGACATCATCTCTATTTCGATTGGTGGTGGCAAAAACTACTTCCAGGACCCCATAGCCATAGGATCTTTCCATGCGATGAAGAACAGCATTCTGACCTCGAGCTCCGCGGGGAACTCTGGTCCTAGCAATTCTAGCGTTGGGAATTACGCGCCATGGCTTCTTACTGTGGCAGCGAGCACCATTGACCGCAAGATCGTTGCACAAACTAAGCATGGTAATGGAGCAGAATTTCAGGTAATTAATTTTTTTATACTTGATTGTTAGTATATGAAAGTTGTTAACTAATCAATTTCATGGAAAATTAAAAGGTTGAACAATTTCAATTGGCATATTAATCTTATGCTATGAACGTGGTTATAGGGGATGTCAGTGAACACCTATGGCTTGGATGGAGCAATGTATCCTTTGATATTGGGCAAAAATGCACCTAACATTTCAGCCGGTGCCGACCCATTTCTCTCAAGGTGAACTTGCTAGTACAGAACTGTCGATCATATAAAACTTATTCATTAACTAATTTTAATTATTGATAAGCTTATCTATGCGACCCATTTGTTGCGCAGTTATTGTGGCGTAGGAAAATTGGACAGTAAATTAGTGAAGGGAAAGTTGTTATTTGTAGTGGCTTAGGCGACGGCTTGGGGCCGCAGCTTGCAGGAGCGGTTGGAGCAATCATGCCGGCAATGGGTGCTAATGATTTCTCTTTCGAGTTCTCGCTTCCCGCGTCAGTGTTGGGACCAAACAGCGCCAAACAAGTTCTAAATTATGCCAACAAAACTAGATTGCTCTCAATTACTAAGATTAATACTCTCTCAATTAATTTTCACGGGAAAATTATAAGCTATTAGTTATAATTATATATATAACTATATATATCTTTAATCTCTACGTTGTTTTGATAATCTATCCTTTATTATATGTATAATAGCAACGCTACGGCAAGTATCTCAAAGAGTGAGGCCGTGTTCGATGCGGCAGCGCCATATGTGGCATCATTCTCATCATGAGGTCCAAATCCTACCACCCCAAATATACTGAAGGTAATTAATTAATTAATTAATCTGACACTTGGATTAGATTTTATTTTGCTTAATTTTGACATTAATGTGCATATATTTAAAATGTAGCCGGACCTAACAACACCAGGGGTGGACATTTTAGCAGCATGGTCTCCACTTGGGGTAGAGAAACTCGGAGTACCTTATAACATTATACCGGGCACATCCATGGCTTGCCCGCATGCCACCGGGGCTGCCGCCTATGTCAAGTCATTTAATCCAACTTGGTCTTCAGCTGCCGTAAAATCTGCT